ATAAAAACACATGATTATTAGCAACTATAAAAACAGATACAAATAATGTTCTAACCGGAGTAAAACTAAATTAAGCTACTTGAAGCCTCTTAGGATAAACAAATCATAAAACAGGTCATGTGTTCTGTATAACAAGTCAAATACTAGGTTAAAAGTGTAGTAAGTAACCCAGTAGATTTTTTTAATTCTGGATCTGAAATAAAAAGGCAATTCTAGAACAAAATATTTTTCACTAATAAAAATGCTTTAAGGCTAAAACTGTAAGGTTCTAAATAGAATCTTATCAACATCTCTTTACAGTATTAATAAAGTTCAAAGCCATGTTTACAGAAAAATGTTGGCAAGCCAAACTTATGCAATTAAAATAAATGCAATGTCACATGATTTGATGTCCCAAAGCCTGGAATTGTGACCTTGACTGAAGTCATCCCAATTCTAAAGCTATAAATAACTACTTTTGCTGAACAAAACATTAAACTATTAGTTCCCACAGAATGTGGTTGTACCTATTCAATGTGTATGTCCCATTCAAACACTTAACCTGGGCTTATTCATTCAACAAATATTTATTTCTGTCTATCAGGGCTAGGCCCCATGGCAGGCAAAGAAGTACAAATGAGATTAAGACCAACACAGTACCTCTCCTTAAAGGACTAAGCCAAGGACTAAACCAATTAACATATAATTGCAAAAAAGTCATCGTCTGGTTGGGCCTCCCTGGTGGGGCAAGGGGTTAAGAAGCAACCTATGACGCTATCCACAGCCACCACAGCACGAGTTCAATCCCCAGCCAGGGAGCTATCCACATTGCACAGCATACCTCTCTCGACTCCTGACTCGCCCACTGGTCCCCTCAGCAGTGTATTTCAGTCATCTGCCTGTTCTGTTCCCGGCTCTGTCTCTGGTGAATTCTCTCACCCTCCCGCTCCTCTGGCCTGTGCCCCAGTTCTTATATAAATAAATAAATCTTTTTAAAAAAAAAAAGTCATCATCTGGCACAGAGAATAGCCAGCAGTATTTCTCTTTTTTAAAGATTTATTTATTTATTTGTACAAGCACTGGGTATAGTCAGAAGCTCAGGAGGGTGAGAGAATTCACCAGAGCCAGAGCGGGGAGCAGAGCAGCAGAAGGACCGAAGTACACTGCTGAGGGGAGCAGTGGGCGGCAGGAGAGGTCTGTGCGCCTTGTGGGACCCTCGCCCGGCGGCTGGGTATCAAACCAGCGCTGCAGAGGCTGCGGGCAGCTTCGCAACCCAGCACTCAACTGCTGCGCCACCGGGGAGGCCCAGTCAGCAGTATTTTAACAAATCTAGTCAGGGAAGGTTTTCAGGAGGAAGTTTGGGGAATGTATTTAAAACAAAAATCTTCAAGGTTATGGTAACAGAACTATTTCTGTAGGCTATTGCTGTTCACTCCTATCAGTCAAATCATTCTTATAACACAAACAGGTTAATTTATACGCTGATGTTGATGTTCAGCATAAGATGCTGCTTAAAGGGGCTTTATAAACCAATGGTTTTCAGTTGTAGTCTCAAACATCAAAACATTGCTACCATTTTGGGAAAATCAAATAGACAAAGTAAATGAAGTGGCAACGTAAGTTTAAGGTATTTCTGAAAAATTACAGACTGACTCCCATCAGTTTCTTTTAGCCTCTTTCTCCCCTAACCACATTAAAATCACAATAAAGGATTCTTTTTTAATGTAGGCATTAAGAACTAAGAAAGAGAAAAGACTAAAACATTCCAGAAAATCTAACTAATTTTTATAAAATTGAAGCAGTGGAGGATTGATAATTGACTTTGGGGAGCAGAGGCACTACCTGGATACTATGGAAGCAGAAATCAGTGACAAATAAGCTGAATTGCTGTACAGACCCCAGAAAGGATAAGGCCTTGGTAATGCAAGGAGCTTCAGAAGCAGAGTAAGTGGTGGGGCTGAAAACAGAGAACAGTTAACGATATGTAAGTGCATTACTGGATACTCCACCAACACATATCCAGGTTATTGCCCCTCCTACCTCTCCTACTCCTTGAAGAAGTTCAATGACACCAGAGAAAGAGAACTATAAAATACTGACCTCAGGATGCCACTCTAATGAAAAACCAATGAAATGTCATGCTCATGTACAAAGAGCTTCTGAGAGACTTTAAACATAAATAAACAACTACCACAGATATGTGAGAAAAATCTCCAAGATCAAACAGGAATAATAAAAACCTAGAAGAGAATTAAAAAGCAAAACAAAATTACAGTTAATATCCTTACAGTAAAAAGAAAAATTAGCAGTGATAAGACCAAGAGTGCTACAACACATGAACATCAGCAAGCACAAATCAGTACTTTAAATAAAAAAATTAGCATAGTTGAAATAAAACATTCAATAAGAAGGTTAGAAGACAAAGTCAAGGACATCTCCCATAAAAACAAACAAAACAAGGGCGTCCCTGGTGGCACAAGGGATTAAGATGTAGCACGAAAGCTACCTGCAGCCACTGAAGCCAGGCCAGGGAGTTACCCACATGGCGCAGCAGACCTCTCCTGTCTCGCCCACGGCTCCCCTCAGCTGTGTATTTCAGTCAATCCGCCTGTTCTGCTCCCCACTGTTTCTGGTGAATCCCCTCACACCCACACCTCTGACCTGTACCCCAGTTCTTGTATGCATAAAAAAATAAACCTTAAAAAAATGATTAAAAAGTTGGAATATAAGGGCCTCCCCGGTGGCGCAGCGGTTGAGCGCTGGGTTGCGAAGCTGCCTGCAGCCTCTGCAGCGCTGGTTCGATCCCCGGCTGCTCCCTGGCCACCAGAGGAGGGTCCCACATGGCGCGCAGACCTCTCCTGACGCCTGCTGCTCCCCTCAGCAGTGTACTTGGGTCCTTCTGCCTGCTCTGCTCCCCGCTCTGGCTCTGGTGAATTCTCTCACCCTCCTGCACTTCTGACTATACCCAGTGCTTGTATAAATAAATAAATAAATCTTAAAAAAAAAAAAAAAAAGTTGGAATATAAGAAAGAGTAGAACTGGAATTAGATTAGGCTCTGTCAAAGGGTATAACTTCAGATGAATAGTTTCCAGAAAAAGAGAACAGAACAAATAAATTGTCAAAAAAAAATACAAGTATACAGAACTTTTAAACATGACTTTTCATATTGAAAGAGTGCTCAAATAGGTACCTAACACAGTAAATGAAAGGAAAAAAATGCTTATACCAAAGCTCATTATAGTGAAACTTTCGATAGCCAGGGAGAAATAAATGATGTATATTAGGGGTATCAAAAGTCTACAAGGAAGAGTTAATTTCATTTGGCAGATGAAACAGGCATTGACAAGTAATGCTGCAACTAGAAAGTAGTGGATCCAGAGTTCTAGCTTTGAGTGTGTTTTTTGCAAAAACTGCAAGATACTGTCCTTTAACTTCAAAAGTAAAATTAATTTTTAAAAAGAAAATAATACTATTTAAATGTTTCCTATCTTCCTATTCTGTTCCCAATTCAACTATAGATGATGATAAGTTCTGACTTGGTTATTTTCCTTCCTAAGTCACAAAAGAGGGTATGTCTATGTGTGTGGGGGACGGGGGATGAAAACTGTATTCATTAGCTACTAGCTAAGTATTTTTGTACTTCTTGCTATGTATTTGTATTTGCTGCTAGAAGGTCCATAAAATAGATTTCCTAACCTCAATGCATCAATAATCTCCACCAAAAGAACTGATGCACTTACATCAGCCCACCGTTGTGCATTTGGACAAAGGATACATTTCATTTAAGCTCTAAATTGTCCTCTAAGTCCTTCATATTCTTCTAGTGTAGGAAGGAAACTTTCTGTAGACGATTTTCCCAGTCATTTTACATTACTACTTATTAAATATACCTTGACAAAAACATCAAAACTTTTCCTTTACACTCACCTTTACCTTTATCAACTACACAATGCTATTTGAACACTTTCATCTGGGGCTCCTCTGTAGCAGCTAGCTTCAGTCAGTTTCCTACCATTGCTGTCCTGCCCATTTTCTCACTATTTTCCTTAAGAGGTCCTGGCTTTACTGGGGGGCAAGCAAAGGGACCACATTGGGAAATATCCTCTTTTTGAATAGACATCTTCAATCCTTCTGACCTATGATAAGGAAGATACACAGTTTTGGTATTTCCTCTCTTGGGACAAATAGAGCAGTGGCTTTTGCGACCTCAGACCCTGCTTCAAAATTCACTCTCCATAGGGCCTCCCCCGTGGCACAGCGGGTTGAGCACAGCGATGTGAAGCTGTCCGCAACCTCTGCAGTGCGGGTTCAATTCCTGGCCGGTCAAGGAGATTCCCAGATGGTGCGGCAGACCTCTCCTGTCTCACCCGCTGCTCCCCTCAGCACTGTGTTTCAGTCCGTCTGCCTGCTCTGCTCCCCACTCTGTCTCTGGAAAATACTCACCCTCCCGCACCTCTGGCCTGTACCCCAACTATTGCATAAATAAAAAGTAAACCTTAGGAAAAAAAAAATCACTCTACTTCGCACTGTCCCATTAGGATCACTGGCTGGTGCCCTGGCTGGCCTGGGATTTCCCTCCTCTCACTTTCGTAGCCTCCCACCTGCTGCCTGTCATGCCCTGGTCTTCCTAAGCTGGTTCTAGTGTTGCTATTTCTTTTGTTCTCCTTGTCCTGTTTATCTTGCCTTGCTTTGGGGTTTTGATCAGACAGTAGCTGCAGCAACCTCAACACCCTGCTGTGTCAATGACAGCATCGTCCAGCTCTTCCCAACACTTGGGCCAAAGAACCAAGCGGCCTAGAAGGTCTGGGTCTGGCGCACGCGAGGTTCCCACGCGCGGCCGCAGCGATCACCCCGGTCAGCCCCCCAGTGTCCGGCGTCGCGGTGACCCGCAGCCTCGGGGCGCTCAGCCCGGCTGTCCCAGCTCCCCCGCCCTCCCCGCGCGCAGGTGGTACCCCGGGAGGCCCTACCCTCGGGCGTCACCTGCGGGCGGCCCCGGCGCGCGCACGCGCTCTGCACCTACCGTCTCCTTGGCAGCCGCCACCGGGATGGGCAGCAGCCCCCGGCCGCGGGTCGGGTCGTCGGGCTCCGCAGCCGCGCTCTCGGGGCGCCCCGGGGACGCCTCGGCCCGGGGGTCCCCGTACAGCTGGTAGCACAGGAGGCCGACCAGACCCCCGCCCGCCGCAGCCGCGATGCTCAGCTCGCCCCAGCGCCGCCGGCGCCTCCACGCCGCGTCGGCCACGGCCCCCTCCTCCTCGTCCCTGCCGGAGAAGGGCCGGCCCGGGGCGCCCTGCGCCATCCCCACGGGCCGCCCCCGCGGCCCCGAGAAGGGCGGGTGCGGGGAGATCGGGGCGGGCAGCCGAGGCGGCGGCCACACAAGCCTCCGCAGCGCAGCCATAGCGGGAGCTGCCGGCACCGGAGCAGGAGGGGGTGCGGAGGGGTGGATTCGGGGGGTGGGGAGCGAAACCTCGCGAGAAGTCGCCGGGGGAGCTGCGCCGCCGGCCGAGCGCCTCCAGTTTACGCGCGCAGCCTGGGTACCCTCTGCACCGCCCTGCGCTGCGGGATCGGGGTCCCCCTGCGCTGCGGGGATCGGGGGCATCTGGAGAAGGGGGCCGGTACCCGCTGCCCGTCTACCCCACAGTCGCCGCCCAGCCCGCCACCCCCAGTAACAGCGCCTGCACCCGGTGCACCCCAATGCTGGGGAACCCGACACCTCCTGCTGCAATGAGACAGTGGGGCGCAGACCAGTTCTTGGGTGCAGAGGTGGCCGGGAACCCATCGCCTGCTGGTTCCTTCGCCTAACAGTATCCTGACATTCTGACACGCTGATAATTTGCAATTCTATCTTCAAGTGTGCAACGAATGTGAGGTGTAAATACTTGGTTGAAGTCAGTTAATAATTTGCAATTATATCTTCAAGTGTGCAACAAATGTGAGGTGGAAAAAGTTGGTTGAAGTCAGTTAATAATTTGCGCAATTATATCTTCAAGTGTGCAACAAATGTGAGGTGGAAAAAGTTGGTTGAAGTCAGTTAATAATTTGCGCAATTATATCTTCAAGTGTGCAACAAATGTGAGGTGGGAAAAAGTTGGTTGAAGTCATAAAGATGGCAAATTTGGTCGAAGGATGTTTTGTCTCCAAAAGGAAACCTGAACTTTTGCTGAAGGAAGGCTAATGCTGCTTTTTCATAGCAATGACTTTTTATTTTTTTTAACATTTTCATTCCCGCAGTCACTTCATAAACAAATTAGAGCTGTCTTGAAAGTTATACTTCCTATGGGGGCGGGAAAACCCTTGGTATAAATATAAAATAAAGAAGTGTGTTGTGTCATCTTCATTTTTATTGCTGTTTGCTAGATTCTGTTTTGTGGGAGAGTATATACATGACATTCTTATCAACCCCAATTTTAATAACTGAGTTATGCTAACTTTGATCTCTATACTCTGGAATGCTGCCAGGAAGCCCTGAAATGTTCTGGGTCTAGAAGTATAGACAAGTAAGTCCCGTTATCTTAGTGTAATATAATGATCATTATGCAAGGATGACATGAGTAGCAAAATAAAGAATATAATCCTTCTAAAACTGTCAGTAACTACTAGAGTTGAACATATGTGCACCCCATAACCCATCAGTTTTACAATATTTCTAGGTGAAATACGGAACAGAAATGAGTATGTGCACCAGAATACATAGAGAGGAATATTTGTTAACTGGTCAAAAACGAGGAAGTATTCATACGTTCATCAACAATGATCTGTATTCTTTAATAAATGTGGCATAGTGACATATTCGAATCTCATATAGCAATGAAAACTACTGAACTGCAATTACATGTGATCTTTTGGATGAGTTACTTTTTCACAGACAAAAAGTCCAAAGAAGACAAAAAAGAACCAACTTTATTACTCTATTTATAATGTTCAAAAACAACTGTGTGTGTGTGTGTGTGTGTGTGTGTGTGTGTGTATTCAGGTGAAGGGTAGTGACTAGAAGGGGAGAGAGGGTAAAGTGGTTCTGGAATTCTGCCCATGTTCTCCTTTTTGTTCTAGGTGCTAATTATACAAGTGTGTTCACTCTGAAAATCCATAGAGATGCCCTCTTACAACCTATATATCCTGTTAATGTATGTTAGAATTCAATAAAAATGTTATATGAAACGAGGAATAGATTTTATTCCTAATGTTCTTGTATAAACCAGTTATTTACTAGAGGACTTGCTTAGTCATGAACTGTACAACTTGGAAGGGATGTATAGAACTTGTAAAGAGTTAAGATAAGAATAAAAAGTTGAAGAGTTGGAAATTAATGGAAAAGCTAGGTAAACTTGACATACCCTAAAAAGATTTAACCAAGGAGTATTTAATAAACATTTTAGGACCTGAAGACCCTTAAGAAGATGCTCATTAGCCATTTTCCTTAATTACTAAGAAAAGGCCAAAAGGAACTTGGTATTTTAAGCTATGACACAAGGTTTTATCTTTTTTGACTTGTAGAACGTTCTCCAGTTAGACATCAATAGGTATCTGGTGGTAAAGTCTAGTGCAACCAGTGTATACCCTTGTCTCTGGCTCTTTCCCCAGACTGTCAGGTGTTGGATGGGAAATCGCTTTAAGGGCAGATAACCAAACAGAAGGGCAACCTTCAGAACAGATGGAATGCTCAGCACAAAGAAGGAACCATTAGAGAAATCAAGCATAGCATAAGGTAAATCTGTGTACATACACACAGAAGCTTAGTGGGATGGCAAGCCAGATTCATTTCTTGCCAACTCCAGTTGATCAGTACTGGTTATCCAAAACACTGTGCGGAGCAAAATTTTCAGACCAGATCCAGCATTCACAGGAAAAAGTATCTTAGAGGAGGAGAAACCCATCCGATTAGGCTGAACTCAGGAACACCATGGTTTATTTGCAACTATCCAAGCTGTACAAATAACAACAGAAGCAAAAAGATTTTAAAAGATTTAAATGTTTCTGTAATATGCATATGAATATTTTGTATTCACTCCACAAAGATATTGGAGACTGAAAAGAATTTAAAGACAGCATAGCTGGGAAAATTTCAACCTTTTAAAGTTGGGGGTGTGGGGAGAGGAGGTAAGGAGTCTTTTGTGGAAACTGTCAAAGGAAATCTTACATAGAAGCTGCTGCCCCAATACAAAGTAAATAGTGTGTGCCTCTTGTAAGAAATAGGAAGGGATTCAGACTCTGTCCACTTGAAGCCTTTTAAACTTCTGAAGCATCTCTATAGAAGCTCAGGGCTTAAAAACCATGAAAGTGTGTGCACCCTTAATTTTTCCTGATGAGGAAACTGAGAAGTTGTCAGGTTAAAAAATTTCCTTTGGGTCACACAACCAGTCTTGATATTCCCCCCTACATCTAAGTAGTTCTTATACTGGAATCAGAAACAGAGAATTTTGAAAAGTTTTTCTTAAGCTGCATTAACTTGCAAGGAACAGAATAGAAATTGCATTAATTCAAATAAAGGATTTATCTGCAAGATAAAATCTTGTGGAATCCAAGGGAAAGCAGCACGATGAGGTCTGAGAAAGTGTAGTTACCAGCTCAGCAAAAGGGAGGGCCTATGTAGTAAGGACATTTATTTTAACATAATGCTGTGAACATGACTTGGTTATTAATTCATCCATTTCTGTGAATCTTAGATCAGATTCTAAAGAGAAAGCATTAGCTTGGTCTGGGCAATGTAAGTTTATGAACTGTTAGTTTTCCACTCACAGGCTTATAAGCTGGGAGGAAAGGGGAGAAGTTTCTGGGAAATAAAGAACTGCTTTTCTTAGAAAGTGCTGTGGGCAGGTACCAGTGCTGTACTAGTAAATATTTAACAGCCATTTCTGGCATAGGTGAGGAAAGTCCTGATTTCTAGAATTTGTAGATTTCCTCAGTATAAATACATCTAGCATGACTCATGTAAAGCTACCAACATATTACTGATTGCAGAGTTGTAAAGAGACACATGGTAGGACATTAAAAAAATTTCCACTATGCAAATAAGAATAGTAAAATAATTGGGAAGTGATGATTTTTTGTTGTTATTATCTTTGCTTTTAATATAATTTATCTAATCACAAGCTTATATAGTTATTAATATTGTCCCTATGTAATAACTAGCTCACTAATTTCATGCAAATTTAACAATCAGCTCTACTAAGCTATTGCAAGTAGTTTCTAGCACATTGCCATCAGGTTCATAAGATCACCATACCCATACGGGAGTTTGGAGTTTTGAAATGAGAAGGAAACAGGATACAAAGGTCATAAGATTAAAAAAAAAATGAAAATTAAAAAAAAAAGGAGTTTACCATTCTTTCACATATGCAAATTAATTAATGTGCTATAATACATGAATATAAGGAAGGATAAAAATCATATCGTTGGTTGCAGAGAAAACATTTGACAAGATTCAACATCCATTTATGAGAAAAGCTCTCAATTAAATGGATATAAAAAGAATGGACCTCAACATAACAAAGGCCATATATGTCAAACTGAAAGCTTTCCCCCTATGATCAGGAATAAGTCAAGAATGTCTACTCTTTACCGCTATTATTCAACATAATATTGAATATCCTAATCAGAGCAATTAAGCAAGAAGAAGAAAAAAATATCCAAATTGGAAAGAAAAAGGTAAAACTATCACAATTTGCAGATGGCATGATAATTTACATAGAAAATTCTAAAGAATGCTCTAAAAAATTAAATAGAAATGACAAATGACTACCAAAAAGTGGTAGGCGGGGCCTCCCTCGTCACACAAGAGGTTAAGATGCAGCACTATGAAGCTACCCAGAGCCACAGCACCTCCAAGTCGATCCCTGCCCAGGGAGCTGACCCACATGGTGCAGCAGACCTCTCCTGACTCTCCAGCTGCTCCCTTCAGCAATGTATTTCAGTCAATCCACCTCTTCTGTTCCCCACTCTGTCTCTGGTGAATCCTCTACCCACCTCTGGCCTGTACCCCAGTTCTTGTGTGCATAAATAAATAAATCTTTTAGTAAAAAAAAAGTGCTAAGCTTTGAAATCAATACTAAAAGTCAATTGCGTGCCTCCTTGGTGCCGCAGGCACCAAGTTGAGCGGAGTGCTGTGAATTTGTCCACAGCCTCTGCAGTGCCACCGGGGCAGAGCGACGCACATGGCGCAGCAGACCTCTCCTGTCTTGCCTGCTGCTCCCCTCAGCAGTGCATTTCAGTCAAACTGTCTGTTCTGTTCCCTACTCTGTCTCTGGTGAATCGTCTCATACCCCACAACTCTGGCCCATACCCCAGTTCTTGTATACATATATAAATAAATCTTTAAAAATTAATTAAAAAATGGATTAAAATCTTTAATATAAGTCCAGAAACTATAAAATATGGGGAGGAAATCATAGGTGATAAACA